TCATCTATGTCCCTGAACTGTAAATGGGGAAGTTATTATGTTGGCAAATGTCTTACTGTGTATGTTTTCACCACAATAAAAGTTAAAAAAAAAAAGAAATGAAAAATCACCAACTGTTTACCATTGGACCTAGAATTTTAGATATTTTGGTTAAATGTAATAGTGTTTACTTTGAGATACTTCATAATTTTTTCTCTCAACTTATAAAATGTGCCTAACAAATCTATAACATTTTTTAGTAATTGTTGTTAGTTGCTGTCAATTCTGACTCACTACAACCTCATGTTTGTAGAATGGAATTGCTTCATAGGGTTTTCCAGGGAGCTCTGGTGGTACAGGGGTTAAGACATTCGGCTGCTAACCAAAAGGTCTGTGGTTTGAACCCACCAGCCACTCCACAGCAGAAAGATGAGGCAGTCTGCTTCTGTAAAGATTTACAGCTTTGGTACTTCTACTTTGTCCTGTAGGGTTGCTACAGGATCAATCAAGTCAGAATCAGTGCAATGGCAGTGGATTGGTTTGTTATAGCGTTTTCAAAGGCTGTGATCTCTCAGAAACAGACCACCAAACCTATCTCCCAAGGTGCCTCTGAGTAGGTCTGAATTTCCAACCAACTTCTTGACTAGTAGCCAAACACTAAACCATTTGTGGCACCTAAAACAAACTCATAGCTTTTGCATCATCATTGTATTACACAAAATTCACAAACAAGTAGTTGGGAAATTACCTGCTCTGGTTTTACTAGCTGCTTTGTGAACTTCTCTTCTTTGGCAGCACGTACACTTACAGATGCATATATCAGACCAGTAGGCATGGCTGTCAACTTTCCCACCTGGAAAGATACATAAAAATCTTCTTTTAATAGAAAAGATCCCCATCTCCCATTTCCTGATAAATTCTGAGGGCCTCTGGAGAACTACTGGTTTCATTTAATAATTTAAAATTAAACTCAAGCACTACAAATTACATTATACCTTTTTATGACATGTTGTTGTTATGTGCCATCAAGTCAGACCCAACTCATAGCAGCCCCTCCGTGGGTTTCCGAGGCAGTATCGCTATGGAAGTAGATTGCCCAACCATCCTTCTGAGGAGTGGCTGGTGGGTTTGAACTGCCAGCTTTCTGGTTAGCATTCAAGTGCTTTAGGCACTATGCTACCAGAGCTCCCTTTATGACATTTGTCGTTGTTTATTTCATATGAGGTTGGTCATTAACAAACAGGTAAAAAATAGTACTCTACCATCCACAGGAGAATTTTAGGAACTGTATCTTTTATGACATATTGTTGTTGTTGTTGTTTTGTGCCGAGGAGTCAGACCCGACTCATAGTGACCCTTCCTTGAGTTTCTGAGGCAGTATCGCTATGGAAGTAGATTGCCCAACCTTCCTTCCGAGCATCTGATTAGCAGTCAAATGCCTTAGGCCCTATGCTATCAGAGCTCCTCTTTTATGACATAGTTCCTAAAATTCTCCAGTGGATGGTAGAGTACTATTTTTACCTGTTTGTTAATGACCAACTTCATATGAAATAAAGAAATATAATAATTACTAGGAAGAAGTACATTTGAGGGATTAAAATCAAAACCAAACTCACTGCCGTTGAGCCGGATCTGATTCATAGTGAGCCCTCCTTGGGTTTCTGAGGCGATATCACTACAGAAGTAGATTGCCCAATCTTCCTTCTGCGGAGTGGTTGGTAGGACCAGAGCTCCCATGTAAGGGATTAAATGAGATTAATCATGACATCTGTGATAGGCTGAATAATGATCCCCAAAGATATCCAGATCCTAATATGATAACTAGGAAAAAGGATATGGTAGTCCACTTCTTAAAAACTGGCCATTGAAAATCTTATGAATAGCTGTGAAACATTATCTGACATAGTGCTGAAAGATGACCCTAAGGCACTCAAAATACGACGGGGGAAGAATTTCCTCCTGTAAGTAGAATGGACCTTAATGAAGTGGATGGATTAAAGCTTTCAGTATCTTCACTTGAATGAATAAGGAAGACCCAAAAAGAACTGATACATTTGATGAAGAATATTGAATATACCATGGACTACCAGAATGAACAATTCTGTCTTGTAAGAAGTACAGCCAGAATTCTCCTTAGAAGCAAGGATGGCTAGACTTCGTCTCAGATACTTTGGATATGTTATCCAAAAAAATCCAAATCAAACTCACTGCCGTCAAGTTGGATCTGACTCAAAGCAACCCCTCCTTGGGTTTCCGAGGCAGTATCACTATGGAAATAG